AATATATATATATATATATTGGTGTCCTGATTTCTCATGGAACTTTCTCTTCCTCTAAAACTAGAGAAGCAAGGTCCTTTTTTCTTTTACTTATACATTTTTAATGTTTTGGCAGGAATAAGAAGACATTGATTGTATAGCAGTATGCTGTTTTTGCAGTTCTTTGTGTGCAACAAGTTGGAAATGAATGCCCAGACATTCAAGGTTGTCCCTTTTTTTGTCCATACATCTATTATGGGACAGGATCATGTTTTGTGGATTTTCTCTGGTGCTCCACTCATAGTTGTTTCGAGGGAAGGAATACATATTTATGCAAATATATTCGACAACTTCACTTCACTGATTTCATATTCATTTTAGCTTGCTTTCCTTTCCAGAAGGTTTTACCCCCTGCTCTCAGATATAATATCTCCTTTTATTCCCTGGTAATATTCTTCGTCTTTTATCAAGATCAAGAATAATAATAATTAATAACAATATCAAAGAAGCTTGAATCCTTATTTATTTACTTCCTTAATAATATGCATGTTCCTAAATTGTATATCTAGACTCTGAGCCAGAAATAGGTTGGCGTAGTGGTTACGTTACGCGCCCTACTTTTCAGGGACAATCTATTAAGCAGAGAACTTATGTTCAATCTCCGCTATGTGCGAAAACTTGTCAGGCCAGCAACAGCCACAGTACCACAAGATAAATTAGTCTCTAGCCAAATGGGCTGAGATACTCGTGGAAGGACAAAGTAAAAGACTCTGTGCCGGAACACCCATCACCACTTCTCGTGTCATATTCATTCCTAATAAAAGGAGGCATTTCATATTGCTGCAACACTTGGTCGTAAACACACGTTTGAGCTTCTAAAGTTGTATTTTCCAACATGATGGGATTTGAAACAGCAGAGCAATACTTGGCAAAAGCAAGTTAAATTGCCGGAGCCAGCTAACACAACAACAAAGCATTTCACACCATAAAGCATTTTCACTCACAACCGAAGCCGACATTCTATAATAAAGAAACAATGATGCACAACCAGATTAACTGCGAGATTGAAAAGGCAACGAAATGCACTTAAACCTGAATTTTGAGTGCAGCAGAGTTCTGCTGGCGCAGCCACAATCGGCGGTTGCGTTCAACTCGCGTCTGTTCCAGAAGGTTCTTCCGGTCCCTTTCCTTCGAACTGCGACCTCCCAAATCGACGCGCTTCCGCGTAGAAGGATCGCCGGAGAAGAACATTTTGAATGGTAGCTTCTTCCCGGCGGCCAATTCATGCCCTGGGTCCCATCACAGGGAGGATCGCAGCACGCGAAGCGCGTTTAATCTGCAATGGGAGTTGGCTTCCGAAAAAGTTGCCCTAGAATTGGAGGAAACTGGGAAGCGTGTTGTTTGGTGCGAAACGAGAGGAAAGTGTTAACAGTGATAGGGAGAATTGTGAAACGATAAAGCAATTTGATGAGAGGAAAATAATGGTAGTAATTGAATGGAAATGGAAATGGGAATTCAGTGTTTGCGAATAGAAGAAGGAGTTGAAAATTTCGCAAGCTTTCTCGTGCTTTTGCTGTGAACACTGTGTACTGTGTAGGAGAAAAGTCTAAGCAAGTTTTTCCGAATGAAATTGAAAGCAGTGGCCACTGGCCAGTCACAATTATTAAAGTAGGAAATACACTTCAGTTAACAACATACCTCACTAACATACCTATTTTTTTATTATTATTATTCAACTGAAAAGTGAAAACTGTTAAAGTTAAAAAATATATATATACTAGTCTCGACATTCTTTTTCTTCTCTCGTTTACTTGTACAAAATTTCTCTTCTTTCTATTTTCTTTGTCATTTATTAGTATAAATGATATATATGATTTAAAAATAAAAAACTCCATGAGAAATTCCTAAATTAAGTAATATATTGTTGCAAATTAAACTTTAATTAAAAACTGAATTCAATAAGTTAGTTTTAGATTTTTTCTTAAAATAGTGTTAAGGTTAACTTAAATATTATTATTTAACTTTTTTATCTATAAAAATTATAACAATAATAATATCTGAATTAGATTTAGGATTTTGTGTGTATCGCTATCATTTAGCATATATTCAACTTATGATTTCATATATTAAACTCCTCTCTCACTCAAATCACACATTGATATAATGTTTTTTTAATATACTCATCGACAATTTAAAGAGTATATATTTATTAACAAAACTTGCAATGTATTTATATAATTAAATATATTTTTAATATTTTAAATTTGGTTTACATTAGAATAATAAAAATTCATATTTCAGTTTCGAATGAAAATGACAGATGGTCAAATAGCACTATATTACTTGATTATTCCTCACTATAATTTTTTAAAATTACCTTTGATTTTTTTTTTGTCTTTATAATTTTTCCTTAAACTCTGTTTTCTTTAATCTACTATCATTCTATTGTTGATTCAAAGTGGTATAACATTTTAAATAAGAGAATTTGGATATGTATTATAAAAAATTTAAGTTTCACGTTAATTAAAAATAAAATAATTAAAATTATATAAGTAAGAGATAATTTTAATTTTACAAGTCAATTTTATAAAATTTAGTTAAGTTCATAACTCACAGTTTAAGAAGATATCTAGATCCACTATAAAAAATGTTATCTACCATTTGATATACACACCAAATTTAATAATGTTGAATATGAAGGAGTGTATTAGGAAAAAAAAAACAAAACTTGAATCATACCTATCATATATCATAAAAAAGGGTTATTCACCATTTATCCATATACCAAGTCTAATAATATTGGACATGAGAAGATATATTGAAAGAAAAAATTCAAGTTTTACATCAATTAGAGATAAAATAATTAAATAATATATAAGTGAAGGAACAACCTTTATCTTATCTTTGTGAGATGATACTACGTAATTGTCTCAATCCGTTATTTTTAAATATATTATTAGTAATCTATAAAATTAAAATAAGAGTTTTAAAAATTATAAAGATTAAAAATAATAATTTTTAATTTAAAAAAATGAAATATATTCCTAAAATTTAAAATATTCAAAAATATTTAAATCAATTAAAAAAAACACTAACAGAAATTGCATTATGCTTTTTTCATTTATAGAGTTATGTATCTTGGTTTAGTTTTTGGTCCAAAAGATCAGAGAAAAAACAACACAAGACCCAAAAACGCTCAGTCACGACTCGAGATATTCTAATTAATCTTTCGGGGTTTTCTTAGCACTCTACCTGCTTCTTCATCTCTCTATCTTTTAAGAAGTTTCCTCAGTTCTCTTTAAAAAAAAAATTAACTTTAAATTTTGATAATACTTTTCTGTTTTGATTTTATTATTTTAAAAAATGAAATTACATGAAAATGATATCTTGCAGAAATTTTTTGAAAATCATTTTTTTTCAATCTTCCTATAAAACATATTGTCATAGCACGTTTTAAAAGTGATGTCCACAACAATGTACTGATAATGTGTTCTGAAGAAGCGTACCGATGACGTGTTGTTTTTTTTTTCAGAAATTAGTTGTTGAAAGTGTTAAAGTTTTAATATTCTTAAAAAAAAAACTAATTTTTTAAATGTGTCAAACTTATAATGCATTCTGATTTTATTTTGAAAATTTATTTGATATATTTCAATAAAATAATTTCCATAATATTTACATGTTATTAAAAAAGTATATCCCGAAAAATAATTTCTAGAAATAATATTTATGGAAAAAAATACCAAAAAAGAAGATGGGCTGCACAGAGATACAAACAAAAAATAGGTTCATGATATATACACCTCCTTTTATCTACAAGTACACCTTATTTTAAAAAAAATAATTAAAATTTTAAAATATTCTTAATTTTGTTTTAAATTTTTTAATTTTACATTCACAACATTTAATTTAATACTTTTTTCACACATCTTTCCTCCTTTTTCAATTTTTACATGCACTCCCTTATTTTTCCTTCACCCCACCTATTTTGGTAACATGTGAAAATTGAAAGAGAAAAAAAGTATGTGAATAAGAAGAAGAAAATAACAAATTAAAAGTTGAAAGTGTAAAATTAATTTTTTTTTTTTTAAATATAATATTTTATAAAAAAATTTTAAAAAGGAGGTGTACTTATAAAAAAAATGAGGTGTATATATCATGAGTCCAAAAATAAGTTTATGACACTATTAGTTTTCGGATAAGAGCACGGGCTAAAAAAACAAAATAAGAACTAATGGGCCCAAAAGCCCAATTCAGTTGAAATTGTTTTCGGCATACTACACACTCAAAAATTATTGAAATAATTAATAATTATACCTATTATAAAGAGATATTAGGATATATAATTATTTTATCTCTATTTTTAGTAGATTATTATATTTTTTAGATGTTAAAAAAAAGTATATCTTTTTAAGTAATCATTCACAATTATTTAATATTTTATTTGTATAACTATTAGAGATATGAAATGTATATGTCTCTATTTGGTATCAATTTTTATAGTGTCTTTTCCTTCTACTAGTAATCATAAACGAAATTAATTAAATAAAGAATAATGATCATAATTTTTTTATTAAATTCCGCGTAAATTTTAATTAAGAATAAATAGCATGTTTGTAATGAGATTGAGCTATCTTTCTCATTTTCCTTATAGCTTTGGGTCTTCAAGATCTCCCAAATAAGTGGAGAAATATTTGTAACACTCGAATGCGAGAATAAGTATTTAGCATACATTTATGAGAGAATTAATGTAGTAATTTGTGGAATTTTTTTCCCCTTTTCATGTGTTTTTGGGCTTTATTTATCTAGGAATGGTCGAGAGGGATTCAAATTAGTTGACCAATAAATTGATCAGACTTCCAATAAGTTGATAGAAAAATAATTGGCATCGAATAAATTAGCTAGGTAAACTATTTAATTTCAAAGGGTATGTTATTGAAAAAACATGTGGAAATTAATTTAGTTTGAGTGCTTCATTCCAATTCAACGAGCAACACACACGACCAAAAGAATTCCACTTTTGACTTATCAAACATTGTCGAGTTGCTCAGAAAGGAGCTTTGGCAAGTTGAATGTGAAAATATACAAATTTGATTAAGATACCTTGCATATACCTGGCCATTAATGAAGAAAAAAAATTGCATATTACTCCCACATAATGATCCAAATGAAAGTTCCATCTTAAAAATAACTCTGTTAGTAATATCACCACAACGAAACATGCATATTCTTAATTTGACTGAAATCATCATTTGGACATTATATTTTAATGTGAGAACCTTCTATTTGTTGAGAGTGATCAAACGCCATAAATACAATGGTGTGCATTGGCTTGATGGACTTTGCTAGATGCCTTTTAGAAACTCCAATATAGTTTCGTTAATGTATTTGCCCCCTTGGTGTTAAAATAAACAACACTTAAGACGACCATTATCATTTGTTAATGTTTTAATGATAAAAAACATACTTATTTCAAGACTTTAAAACTTCATATATACATGCAGCACTTCTATCCAAAACACAAACTATTAAAAAAAGCTTCGTATGTCACTTTAACTCCACGATATGCATTCAATTCTTAAGGCTTTTCATTAACTACGACAATTGAATTTAATTTTTTAAAGAAAAAAATAGTTGCAACTTGCAAGGGTTTTTTTTTTTTTTGTTGCTATAATTAATAGGGAAATGCTGGCCATATAATAAGCAACTTTGACTCTATTTGTTGAATATTCATGTTATTGAGCTTTACCAAACCACATGTCTACAAGTACGTCTAGGGGTTTCTTAAAAAAAAGAAGGAAAAAAAAAAAAAAAATATATATATATATATATATATATATATATATATATATAAACCCTGCAACTTATATTTTTTCCACTTTTGGGGGAGTTTATTGTACTAAGCATCATGGATTCAATTCATTAACTTGCCAATTCCACCACGCGGATTGATAAATAAAATTTCAACTAATTAAGTTGGAATAGTTAAATTCGATTTAAAAAAACAGTGTAACCCAATCAGTAACACTAATGGAGTCGTCCATAGCTATATATTTTATTTAAAAAATGAAAATAAAATAAAAAATTAAGATTATTGAGTAATAAAAGTAATTAAATAATAAAAATAATAAAGTGAATAATTATTAAAAGAGAATGGTAATTACTAAAAAAATTAATTTATTATTTTTTAATAATAAAATAATATAATAATTTGCAAAATATGATTTTAAAAGAAATATTTTCTTTATATATTAGTATAAATAATATATAATAATAATAATAATACATCCTTAAATTTTAACAAATTTATTTCGATCATATTAATGTACCTACTAAATTTGAGATATTATATATTTTAGTTAATATATTTACGGTTTTATCATTAAAAGGGATAAATATAAGCAATGGAAAACATACTTTCTTTTAATATACAACCAATTTGTATTTTTTTAGAAATAAAATGCATACAAATATGATAACGTGACGTGACATGGTCCAACACAAACTTTTCACTATAGAATTACTCGCGCGAGTAAGATTAATTGAACTAACTACTTTACAAATTTAATTTAATATAATTAATTTGATCAATGTTTTCTTTCCTTCTCCAAATTTAATCAGCATCACTTCTATTATTGTTGCGTTC